GGGACGGCGGGGTTAGGGGAGGACGAGGCTGCGTCTCTGGAAATGGAGCAACGCCGTCATGGCGACCTCCTGCTGTTGCCCGAGCTGCGGGACTCGTACGACAACCTGACGGCCAAACTGCTGCTCATGTACGTGTGGCTGGACCGCCACATCGACTACAAGTTTGTGCTAAAGGCAGACGACGACACCTTCGCCCGGCTGGATGTCTTGCTGGAGGAGCTAAGGGGCAAAGAGCCGCGCCGCCTCTATTGGGGCTTCTTCTCCGGCCGGGGACGAGTGAAGGGCGCCGGGAAGTGGAAAGAGAGCTCCTGGGTCCTGTGCGACTATTACCTGCCCTATGCTTTGGGAGGGGGCTACGTGCTCTCCTGGGACCTGGTCCACTATCTGAGAATCGGCAAAGACTACCTAGCCCAGTGGCAAAGCGAGGACGTATCCCTGGGCACCTGGCTGGCTCCGGTGGATGTCAAGAGGGTTCACGACACCCGTTTCGACACCGAATACAAGTCCAGAGGTTGCAATAATAAATATATTGTCACCCACAAGCAGAGCATCGAAGATATGTTGGAGAAGCACCAAACACTGGCCAAAGATGGAAAGCTATGCAAAGAGGAGGTGAAGCTGAGGTTATCTTACATCTATGACTGGGGGGTGCCCCCGTCACAATGCTGCCAGCGGAAAGATGGCATACCTTGACGGATCACCAAGCTGACAATGCCTGCTCTTGTCAAGGGCTGGAGATGGGCCAATGGGAAGTTGTATATGTTGCTTACTCTTGTATTCGAGACTTTGGCTGATGACTGAAAACCAAAGTTCATCATCGGCTTTAGTTCCCCTTCCTTTTGATGCCAGAGGGAAAGATGACACCCTGAGAATTGGTGTGATGATGCATTTGCTGCTCCTGATCATGGCTGGAGGTGGCCCACGTTATGCTTGAATGCAATAAAGTTTTGAACATTGCTGACAATAATATTTTACTGCATGGGTGAAGAAGGATTGACCGTTTGTGCAGCCTTTGTCTCACCCGTCTGACATATTGTTATTCGGAAAAAAAAACGTAAGAGAGATATAGGGCAGAGTAGAACTTGTGTGTGGAACATCTTGTAGTACCAACTGCACATGGCTAGAACGGAGTGAGGAGAAGCATCTGGAATAACCACATTTTTTTTTCTTCCTTACATTTCATGCTGATAGTATGTAAACTGACACTAAATTCCGGAGTTAAATCTTAAAAATGCATTCAAGTCCCCCAACTATTAATAAAAATGTATCTTATGTGTATATCACTCGGCTGTAGATCCTCAAATCATCTCTGAATTGGTGCTGACACTGTCCTTCCTTCTGGAGGGGGGATGCTTTTGTTTCCCATGGTCTCTGTGTGTGTGTTGTAAAGTAGCCACCGCTCCAAGCTCACTCCCGTGAAGGACTACGATCTCATGTTTAGTTTACTCATTTGTATCCAGATTGTAGTCCATCATGGGAGTGAGCTTGGGGTGGTGACTACTTTTACAACACACACAGGGACCATGTGGAACAAAAGTAGCCCCCCTCCAGAAGGAAGGACAGTGTCAGCACCAAATCAGAGATGATTTGAGGATCTACAGCTGAGTGATACACAAATAAGATACATTTTTGTTAATAGTTAAGGTACTTGAATGTATTTTTAAGATTTAACTCCTAAGTTTAGTGCCGCTTTAAGCTCTTCTGTAGAAAATTCTTACACTGTACTGTTTTTTCCAACTTACCTTCTAACAAATCCTGCCATTTGGCTGTCCCCATGTGTTACAAAACCAGTGCGGAAGACAATATCCGATAGTGAAGTCTGAATGGATGTGACCCAAACGTTTCTCCACAGTCGAGAATTGTTGACCCCCATGGAAACATCTATTGATGATAGACGTCTTCCATCAGCCTGCTAAATTCTACTCGTGAGAAACTAGGACTACCAAATCATTTAGGGACAGTCGCTTCATCGGTCTGATCTCTGCAATGAAGGGGATAAGCCAATTTTATCTTTAAAAAATAAGGGAATTTACTTACAATGGTATTTGGTAATCACTTGAAAAAATAGAACTATATCACTGTGTGGAAAAACAGCTCTACATAGCATAAGTGTATAGACTCCGTAAACAGCTGGACACTGGCTTTCCAGACAAAGCAACCTTATATTTTGTTTATTGTAGTTTTATTGGCACCAAGCACTTTGGTTATGTGACTCAGGTCTTAAGCAAACTGACCTGAGAAAGCAAATTATTTGTTGTTAGGGATGCACCGACACTGAGTATTTGGGTGAGTACTCATACTCGCCCAAATGCTCCCAATACGTATCACGTAAGCCGGGGCGGCGAGTCATTACACTTGGTGACAAGGGAGCATGAAACCGACTTCCAGGCCACTTCCAGGAAGTCGGGCGGGGTGTAATGAATTGCCGCCTGGCTTCCTGATTGGTAGGGAAATGGCTCCATGCTTCCTTGTCACGTGGTGACGAGGGAGCGTAGAGATGCTTCCTGACTCATCAGAAAACCGGGTGGTGAGACATTTCACACCCCACAGCTTCCTGGATAATCAGGTAGCCGAGCGGTGAGTCATTAAACGCCACCCAGCTTCCTTAATGGGACTTCTGGTTTCGGTATCGGTGAGGACGTATGTGTACTCCATACTGAAAAAACAATATCTGCACATCCCTATTTGTTGTAATTGTAAAGCAAAGATAAAACTAATACAATAATGTGTAGCACGTAGCAGATATATTATACCTTGTCATTACATTCCTTTTTAGTCTTATGGTTTTGTCAGCGTAGAGTTGACTAAAGTCCACAACCTTTCCCTGCTGAGTCTCCCGACTTCCTTGTAGTGAATAGGCCCGCAGTGCTCAGCTCCTCAGTAACTACCATTGTCACATAGTGATGACTATGGCTGCACAAAAAAACAACCAAGTGAATGCGGCTCTTTGCCTATTTCTTAGGAAGTGTTCCAAGGGTGCTGCTTTGGCAGACTATTCAACTTAATTATGTGATAAAGGCATTTATTGTCAGGTGATGCCTCTCAAATTAATTTATTAGTCTTATCTTTGCCACGGGTTCATTACTCACATGGGAACTATTCGTGTAAAATGGATCTTGCACTAAAAGTTTAAGTGACATTAAACTCCGTAGTTAAACCTTAAAAATACATTTAAGTGCCATAACTAGTAACAGAAATGTAGCTTATATGTGGTCATTCAGCTGTAGTTCCTCAAGTCATCTCTGAATTGGTGCTGACACTGTCCTTCCTTCTAGAGGGGGGCTACTTCGGTTCCCCATGGTCCCTGTGTGTGTTGTAAAGTAGTCACCACTCCAAGCTCGCTCCTGTGATGGACTACAACCTTACGATTAGTTTACTAATTTGTATTGAGATTGTAGTGTATCACAGGAGCGAGCATGGAGTGGGGGCTACTTTACAACACACACAGGGACCATGGGGAACCGAAGTAGCCCCCCTCTAGAAGGAAGGACAGTGTCAGCACCAAGTCAGAGATGATTTGAGGAGCTACAGCCGAGTGATAGACAAATAAGATACATTTTTGTTAATAGTTAGGTACTTGAATGTATTTTTAAGATGTAACTTTTAGTGTCACTTTAATGAACCCTCTGTCTGCTAACCCCTTAAAATTGCTAACTGACTAATTTAATATAGCCATAAAATATAAAGGATATTCTCTGCAGTCCCTGGCTTCTGGCTGGTTCACCTAGGCACAAGTGATGTCATGTCGCCCTACCCACAACCTTCTGGAAAAGCTTTCCCGAATCTTGCGTGAGTTGCAGTCCTGCACTGTGCAAGGTCTGATTTAAAGGGACGCAGAGCCTAGACTGTTATCCAAAAAGCAGTTTCCCTTTTATATACAGTATTCTATAAGATGGTCTCAGGGGGTAAACTAATATACTGGAAATCGGACTGGTACTCTTTGGTCTTTGTTGTCTGTATTCCTCGCCACTAACAACTTGGTATAACCCAGAGATGTGACGCCATGTAACTGTAATTTATCACCTTCTCTGTCTCCATTCCTGGTAGTGTTGTAAACTAATACCTATTTGGAATCTAGGGAAAATGTTCAGCTTGACCAGTTTTATTCTCTGCATGTATGTAGTTTATTCGGGTAATTTATTTTGTGCAGCTACTCATCGTACCTCAAACATTTTAATTTATTTTAAGTCATTCTTTGTCTGCTGGATATGATACATTGTTTTTATAAAAGCTGAAAATAAAGCCGGACCGAGGAGTCTTTCAACAGAACAAACATTTTGGTAGCCTGACTTGCTGTGATGTCGCCAAAAAACTCCAACAGGACCTTCTAAATATTTATTTCTAGAATTGCCTGAATACACGGCTTCTTTAATCATTTTGTCGCAACTGTAGTACTGTGTGTGCTCTAGTTCTCCGCTGCTGGAACTTGATGTGGTTCATCTGGTAGGCATAGATCTAGAAGTCGGCTTCCAAAAGGAATTCGCACTAGTGTGGTTTTGAGGCCAATTTACTTCATATGCAGTTTGGATTTCGGTAGTGGAAGTTATTTATATACTGCCAGCAATTTACATAGGAGGCATTCACATCAATTCATCTTAACATTTAAAAAATGCCCTTTCTGAAAAACAACCAGATGAGTTCCCTGGAAAGTCTATATCCACGGAAAGAACTAGAATTTAGTTTATAGGAGATCTAAAGTCCCAACATATACAGGTCTATTCACTAAAGGGTGAGGAGTCTGGAGACGTGAACAATCTAGGACAACATAGCTGAACTGGAAAAATTCCCCCATTCAGCTCATGTTCCAGTTCAGCTATGTTGTCCTAGATCAGGGGTAGCAAACCTCCGGCCGTGGTGAATCTACAAATCCCATGATGCATCTCTCTCCGGGAGTCGTGGCTGTGAGAATCTTGCAATGCCTCATGGGATTTGTAGTTCCACCACAGCTGGAGGGTCAGAGGTTTGCTACCCCTGTCCTACTCCTCCTGCCTTCTCCAAACTCTTCACCCTTTAGTGGATAACCCTGAAGGTATCCTGATATAACATCAGCATTGTAATAGGGATACATATTAGAGTTTGTGATGATGCAATCCAAGCTTACTTGCATCCCTTTTAGACATGTGCAGCCGCAAAAAATGTGTTCAGTTTCGCTTCGGATTGTGTTCATTTTGTATTTCCGAAATCGGGTCCTGTATGTGTTTCGGATCGGATTCAGACGAATTTCCGAAATGTGGGGTTTTGCGCGAACGGACGAATGTTCGTAGGCACGTATGTAGCAGAATTGGCACAGTTGACATTTCTGGTTGCTGTGCTCTAGTCTTCACTATTAAAGGGACATTCAAATCCTTTTCTTAATTTTTTTAATCCGTTTAAACGGTGAAGATAAAATCACAGGAACATGAAGTAATGTTTTGTTTTTATCTTCACATGCTATGAAATCCTCTTTTTGTAGTTATTATCGTAAATTTCAAACTTAGTTTCCATTAGGACGAAATTCATACTGAATCCGAAATGCCGAACCCGGAACGAAACGAATCGCACATGTCTAATCCCTTTTATGTAGTGAGCGCTGCCTTCCGTCTGCCCATCACTATCACCAACTTCCTGGATTCCCAGTGTTCTTTGCGTCTCTTTCCCTGCTGCTTGATGTGATGCAATCTCCATTTCTCAAGATTACATATCCCATCATGCATTGCTTCCAGCAAGCAATGATGATTGTACATTGTTGAGACATTGATTGCAGTTTAGAAGGCAGGCTCTGTGAGAATGATATAGGTGAATGGATGTCACCAGCACACCAAGAGTGCTCGTTCATCATTGCTGAGCCTGATGAAGGGGACCCTGCGCTGCCCTGAAAGCGCTGGTTCTGATGACATGACGTTTTAAATAAACGAGCACTTTGGACTACAATACTCTTGGTGTGCTGCTGACACCCATTTACCTATATTATCTGGCGGCACCATCTG